TGTTTCAAGGACAGGCTGGGACAGGCTTCCTGGAAGAACCACGTACAGAGAACACGTTCCTTCTCACAGAATCTCAGAATATGCTGAGTTGGAAGGATCATCGAGTCCAACCCTCAGCACTGCACAGGACCACCCCCAGGAGTCACACCATGTGCCTGAGAGTTTCATCCAAACACTCCTTGAGCTCTGTCAGGCCTGGTGCTGTGACCACTGCCCTGTGCCTCATTCTTAACCACACTCCCTTTCACATGTGGTGCCACCACCCATGGCACTGTGTGGTGCTTCCCAAGCTATCCCATCGGAGGCTGATGCTCTGGAGTGCACCATGGGGCAGGAATATGGTGCTTCCTGGCAAGGAACCCCTGACATGTCACACCTTCACACTCTTTCCACCCGGGAGGGTGGTGGGTTTGAGCCCCTCTCCTGGAAGCCTCAGGAACCTTCCTAGAGATGGAAACCCCAGGACATCAGCTGAAGCCACCAAGTAACTCTGAACAAGGCTGCTCTGCCCTTCCAGAGGGGTTAATTCACGCGCCACTCCCAAGGATTCCTGGAACAGGGAATGCCGGCGATGCCGGATCTTTTCACTGAACGACAAAACCCGTCCAGCAAGTTCCCTGCAAGGTCCCTGCCTCCCTGCTCTACGCTCCAGTGAGCTTTCATCAAACATCCCAGGCTGTGTGTAATCCAGCTGTGCCGTGAGCTCGAGGAGCTCCGCTGGCCCTGGATCGCTGTGACAGTGTCAGCTCAGGTTCAGCCGCTCCTCGCAGCTGGCAGGAGCTGAACTCTTAATTAATGTTTCCATTAGTTACCGTCCCCAGCACCCGATATCCCTCAGCTCCAGCCCTGCTGGTTGATGAGTCATTTCAGCTATTCATTAAAATCCTCCGAGGTCACGTCCAGGGCATGTTTGTTTACACCCCACCTTCCTGGCACCCTGTCCTCAACTCTGTGACTCCCTCCCAGCACGGGGAGGTCTCGGAGAGAAGGAAGGGCAGCGGGAGCTCAGCGGGGAGTTTCATTCATGGGCCCTCCTTCGCTCCACTCGCTTCCCCCAGGAATTCACTCCCAGCTCCGTTTGTGCTGCTGGCACCGGCAGGAAGAGGCCCCGAGACATTCCCTGCGTCGCTGCCATTTGGTGTTTGTCCCCACCTCCCGCCGTCCCTCCCACTCACAAGTTTACACACAGTTGGAGCGGGGCCAGTTCCACACTCTGGGAATTAAAACCCAGCGAGGACTGGTGGTGCCTCCTCCCCCTCCAGGGACAGGCTGTGTCTGCGAGCAGGAACCCTGGAAGGTTTTCAGGAAACCCGAGTGCCCATGAGGCAATTCCCAATCCCTCCCAGCCACCGGTCTCTGTGAACACTTCTGGGGTTTGAGGGGTGGGAGGGACACTGCCCGGGAAGAGCTCCGGCACCCCTGCAGCCTCAGAAAGTGGTTAATGGATAACTCATTCCCAAAGTTCTGCAGGAGTTAATTTGGCAGAAATGAAGAGGAAGCCAATGCCAACAGGTTGTAAAGTCTGCAGGGAGAGCAAACCACGTCTGTGTGGGACAACAGAGCCTTTCAGCCTTTCTGATGGGCCTTCAAAATGTCCTGTTGTTGTCCACTGGGTTTATAAACAGGGAAGTTATTCTCCATCCAGGTGATTCCTTGGAGACAGGACTGTGTGTGTGAGTCTGGAGGACACTGGGCCCTGGAAATGCAGTGTCCACTGGGACTCAGTATTCCAAGGCTCTTCAGCCTGGAGCTGGGGTTGAGTAATTTGTGTTGTGCCCTACACCCCAGTTCCTGCTGATCCAGGGGAGCAAGAGAGAGGAAGAAAAGGAAAGTGAAAGAGGAGCATGGACACACTGAGTGATTCAACTTAAAGGATCAGAGCGGCCAGCCAAGCTTCAGTGCTGCCTCTGCATATTCCCAGTTGTAGGAGTCTGGAGTGAGACAGCTGGAGAGAACAGTTTAAATTGGAAATACAGCTGAGTCCTCTCATGGCAGGAATCAAACGTGCACAGTTTGGGACACCAGCCCTGCAAATTCCTTCTGCTGATGTGCTGAAGCTCAGCCCAGAAGGCAGAGCCAGGACCTTCACGTGCCATCACATTTTAAAACAAAATAAAAACTGATGCACCACCTAATCCACCCTGACACACACCTAGAGCTACACCAAGTCTTAAGTGGCTTCCTAAAACTCTCAGCTCTCTCCAAACCAACTCCAAATGCTCTTAACATCTTTGTTCTGCTGCCTCAGGGGGGTAAGAAAGAGCTTTTGGAAAGAAAGCAGGGATGGGTTTGTGGTGTAGTTCAGGCAGAACTCAGAAACCACTTTGGACAGAAGTTCAGTCTGATGGCACAGAAGTTGCTTTATCTTGCAGAACACACCAAGGATGAAGCTCCACTGGGACAGGTTTCCTGGCCAGTGACAAGACATGATTTAGTTCTTTAGAAAAGCAACATTCTGAAAGGAGAGAGAAAGGTAGTGGCCAACAGAATATTGGGACAAGCCAATCAAGGGTTTAGCAGCACTGGGACAACTGCAGTACAATCCAAACAGGTTCATTATTCCACTCCTCAGGAGCCAGACAAAGATGGTGCCAAGTGTCAGAACCAAAAAGGTATTTTTTTTTGCAAACATTATAGGAACTTCAAAGCACACCAAGTTTTTATTTCACCTACATGAGCAGGCTCCTGACCAGAAAAGGCATCTGAAGGTTTTAAGTTATAAAGCAAACTGGAAAACTCAAGCTTAAAGAAGGGTTGGCAAGTTCAGCAGCAATTCAAGCAATGAACTCAATGCAAATGAGACAGAAAGGATCAGACTTTCCAAAGACCAAAGAGTACAACATGCAAGGCTGGCCTGGATGTCTTCCTTTTTTTTTTTTTTTGGTTTAACAAAATCTGAATTGAACATTATGCTTAAATATGCAGAAACTGGAGAACCCCATCAAACCTGAAACAACAGAAGTTGTTCATTTTAAAGGGCTTGATTCCTAAAGCATCCAACTTGTAGAAGGCCTACAGTGCTCTCTGTGCACAAAGCCTCAGAAGGTCCTCCCCGACTCCTGCTGAAGGCAGAAAGAAGGAATTCCTGAGGAAGGTGAGTTCACACCCATATCCAGCTTCTTCTCCCAGAAGGTACCACTGGCATGGTCAAAACCAACTTTTCCAGCAAGTCCCCAAAGCTGAGCAGTCACACAAGGGCTGCTGTTGGAATATGCAGGGGTCACCTTGCAGGGAAAACTCCAGACCTCTCTCTCCACCAGATTCTCCTCAGGCAGAGATGTAGCAGAAAACAAGAGAGGTGTGTGTAGATGGTTTTAGGTTTTCCTTTTTCTTAAAACTTCAGTACAGAGGTTGGACACATAAAACCTGAACTATTCTGAGAGCCTCAACTTACTCTCAGTTTCATTCACTCCCACATTACCAAAGTATTTATTCTACACGACCAGAGAACATCTGGGGGCTTTGTGGAAGTTTGGACCCACAGCACATGGGGTGGGGTGCACAGTGCCAGAGACCCTCCAGTTCACACATCCACTGCACACCTTAAACCAGTGTCTGAACTCACCTGGAGATGGAGGCTGTATCTTAGTCTGAGACTTCTTTGAATCAGCAGCTGCAAAGATATCAGGAGGGGGGTCTTCTCCTCGCTCAATCTTGCACTCGAAGGCATAGAGACACTGGATGTACTGCTTCTTCAAGGAACTGGCTGCACTGCTGGACGTGCCCACGTTGAGATTTGTGGCCAACTCGCGCCATTTCTTGTTCTTGTTGACCTGCACAACCAAACAGGAGGCTCTGAGATCAAAATCCCAGCTACTTCTCCTCCCAAGAAATTTTCTGGGGAGAAATCGACACTTCCCAGTTCACACGAGGGAAGCAACAGAGGCCAAACTCATCTTCATCACCTACAGAAAACCTTTCTAACAGGGACAGATTGCAAATCAAACCGGTCACGAGGTCAGCTGACAGCCAGATGCAAAGACAGTGTCACCAATCTTTGCACTGGACAAAGGGGAAAAAAAAAAGGGGTTGAAATGAGTCTCACCACAGATTGTTCTCAACCAGACAATGGGAGAGCTAAGCTCACTTAGAGGATGCTGGGTTTTATTTAGGGAAACAAACATGGCTAAATGGGAATTCATGGCTTACCTCTGGCTACAAACTACCTCTGAAGGGCAGCAGTCCCCTGGCTGTGGACACTCACCTGAGTCAATCCTCCAATCTCCTTCACGGAGATGTAGAGCCGGTAAAGGTCCAAGGGTTTCCTGCCCACTGCAGGGAGGTTGGTCATTCCCATGGCCTTCTCCTCGGTGAAGGCCAGGTAACGATCCACCCACAGCTTCCTCTCGGGCTCCCCACCCAGCTCGTAGAGTTTGGTGATCTTCTCATTGGTTGTAGTAGAGGAACTGGACTTCTAGGAGAAGGAAAGAGATATCAGGGCTGAGCAGCGCAAGAGCACCTCTTTCCCACCCGAGATGGTTTCAAAAAGCAGGCAGGTAAGAGCTCAAAGTGCTGCTGTTGTGTTGGGAACAGATTTATGTTAGACTTATGCTTGCTTCAGATCAACATCAGGCAAGGATTAATCAGTAAAGGCATCCAAAAGCACAGACCAGGACAGAACAGCCCTGATTTGTGGCTTCTGGCATCTCCCAGCCCAAGAGCGTTCAAGTCCTTGTTTGCAATGAATAAGAAAGGCAGATTCCAGAATACAGGAGCAGAAGTGAGAGATCTCCTGGATCTTCCTGCTGGCTGCTGCTGGCACAGGGATCAAACCTGCAGAGCATTTATTTTCCCCCAAGTAGCAAAGGAGGAGACGGGCTCAGAAACTGCTTTTTTGGTGGTTCTTTTGAAACTGGTAGCAGCAATGCAAAGAAAAACACTCCCTGAAGAACTTGTTTGCATCCCTCTTCTGGCTTTAATACAGGATTAGTAAGAGGTTTGTTTGTGAAACAACTAACACTGCAGTGTACCACGTCCCAGCTGAGGGGTGAGAGCTCCCAACCCACACCAGCAACAACCCCGGGTTTGTTTATGCTGCTTTTGGCAGTTTCACTGTGGCAGGTGATAATTTCTAATTCTGAATTGTTTTACAGGTGAAATCAATGACTCCCCAAGGACTGGGAAACGCTTCCCTTCATTTCTCACACTTACTAGACAGATGCACTGCTCAACCCAAGTGAACATGCAGTGGGGTTTTATTTCCCTGGACGCTGGAGAGGATGGGAGACATTAAAAACAAAACCCAAAACATTTTACCTTTGACTTGGATTCTGCTTTTGGCGTCCCATCTGCCTTGTTGTTCATTTTAGTTGCAGGTGTTAACTTGACATCCCCAAGTCCCATCATTTCAGGGCTTGCTGCCATCCCTGGGGAGTTAAAAGGAAACCTTTAACACTGATTTTCAACCCAGTGCAATGGAATCAACGAAATCCTAAAGCCCTGGCTTACCTGCAGAGTTGTTGGCCATATTCCCACCCATGGGGTAGGGTGGGCCCTGGGGGTTTATCATGCCAGCCATACTGTTAATTCCCTGTCCATAAGGAGGCCCAGTGCCCATCATGCCCCCTTGATTCATGTTGGGATAACCAGGAGGCCTAGAGAAGGCGAGGAAGAAACAGACACTTTAGTCCACATATTAAGCATTAAGATCTTGCCCTCTAAGGAAGCAGCTTTGCTAAAAGCAGCCTCTGGGGCAGGATAAAGAGCACAACGCCCAGTCAGACAACAAATATATCCACCAGCTTTGGGGGAACCCAATTTAGAAGCACATTCATGGCTCTCATAGCATTGGGAAGGCCACACACACCTACTCTGAAATGGGCAATAAATTAAAAAAAAAAAAAAACCACCACAGAAAACAGTACAAAGTTCAGAGCTGAATTCCAGCTCCTTTCCCACAGCTGCTCATCAAGGCCCTAAAAGGAAGAAGTTCCCTACACTGGACAAGCAATGCCTTGGATCAGACAGCTGGGTGGCTGCTGGATTTAGGGGCTGCACCACACACGCAGCATCTCCTCATGGAACAGAGGAGATCAGGATTTAAAAAAGCCAAAACAGCTGAAGAGATCTCAGAGTTAAATAATTTCAGCTACGATCATTAAAAATCCCCCGAGCATGCCATAAATGATGTATAAAATCATGGGATGGTTTGGGCTGGAAAAGACCTTAAAGATCATTTAGTCACAACTCCCTGCCCTGGGCAGGGACACCTTCCACTAGCCCAGGTTGCTCCAAGCCCCATCCAACCTGGCCTTGGACACTGCCAGGGATGGGGCAGCCACAGCTTCTCTGGGCATTCCAACATGCTGCTTGTCCAAGTTTTATGCTCTCCCTTTTCAACACTTGAGCCTGATCACAACAACGTCTCCAGGAAGGACAAACCTTCACGGGAGCTCATTCCAGCATTACCCCAAATTTGGGTTGTTCCACACACACCTTCAAAAGCCAGATCTGACACAGGGGAGGGACTTTCACGGGGGGAATCTCCCTCCTCACCTGTTCTGGATGGAGTTGGCAGCAGCGTGCATGGCAGCAGCAGCTGCCTCTTGTGCTTTGCGGTTCATCCCGGCGGGCGGGGGGCACATCCCTGTGCCCACCTGGGGGGGCATATTTGCCATATTGGGTCCGTAGGGCCTGTTCCCCATGGCTGCATGGCTCATCCTGCCCGGGGGGATCCCGCTGTACGGGGGCACACCAGTCTGCCCGTGCATCTGGCTCCCTGCTCCCATGGGGTTCATGCTTCCTCCCATGCCCGGGCTGGGGTAGTTGGCATTGGACATGGCATTGTAGTTTGGCTGCCTGGGATAACCTCCTGAGGAGATAAAAAAAGGAGGGGAAGGCAACATCACTCAACTAGTTAAGTTTATGAATCACCATAAAAATCTTCTATCAGCAAATATTTAAAGATCACTAACAGAGATGAGGGGGAGTGTTCACACCTCAACACGAAGTCAAAGTACTTGGATATAAGCCACATAAAATGTGTTTTGACATAGCCAAGCAACAACATCGATTCAGAAGCTGCCTGAAACTCTCCCAAACCTCAACCCAGCACAGTGAGCCAAATGGTCCAGGACAGGATGCAAAAACCCTCATTTAACCCTTTCCAAAACAGGCAACACTCCATTTTCTTCCTCTCCAAAGAGAACTCGCCCTTTGTCACTATTACACAGGATGCACAACCTGCAAGTTTTTAAACAAGGAGGAAGGATCCTACATTTAGAAATAAAACTATTCCTGAAAGCAACATATTCCATCAACCTCAGCAGGAACAAAGCACAGCTCCTCCCAGCTCATGAGGAGCGTGCTGGTTTCCATCACCCACACACTAAGAGGAGACACATCAAAACATTTATCACAGAATCATGGAATGGTTTGGGTTGGAAGGGACCTTAAAGATCAGTAACTTCCACCTCTCTGCCACGGGCAGGGACACCTTCCACTAGACCAGGTTGCTCAGGGCTCCATCCAGCCTGGACTTGAACACTTCCAGGGATGGACTTAACTTGGGACTTCAAAGACAAGACGTTAGGATAGAGAGAGGCCTTTGCTGAGCTCAGTTCCCACCTTGAGGTCCGTACTGCCCACCCTGGGGTCCGTAGCTTCCCATGGAGTTCTGCTGGTACGGCCCCATCCCGGCGTGCATCTGGCCCCCGGAGGACTGCCGGGGGGATAAGGCTGAGCCGGGCTGGGGGGAGCTGTACTGGGGCATCTGAGGGTTCCTCTGCATGTAACCTGCACACAGGGGGATGGAGCAAACTATTAGTGCAAAGCACCCACAGGTGCCACTGGACATACATGTTTCTAAGGAAAGCAACGCCCAGGACTAACAAAATCCTTCCAGCAACAGCCTGGACAGGTTTTAGTGCTTGCATTAAGGAGTCGGTGTTATCTGAGCAGGTAACAGATCCAATTTCCTGTTTTGGCCAGAAATAACCCTCAGTGTCACAGCAGAAGCCAGTGAGGCTCTGCAAATCCTGGGGGCTTCTTGGTGGTGGCTTTTGTTTGCTTGTTTGTTTTCTCATGGTGACAACTGTGCACCTTCAGCCAGGAGAGCTGAAATTTTTTACAGGCATTTTCCCCCCCAAAGAAATCTTATTCTCTTAGAGGGAAAAGCCCCACAATATTGTTGCAAGCACCCCTTGTTTTGAAACTTAAAAGTCACTGGACGTTGGGCAAGAACATGCACAGAAAAACATGTTGAAAAGCCAGAGAAAACATCTTCCAGGCCAAAACACCAGCTTGGATGGAACATTTAGAGGCCAAACAACCAGCAACAACAATAATTTACTGCAAGTTGCCTCAACACCCAGAGGTTATAAACCTGGGGCAGCTTTTAAATGCTCTCTCAGCACAGAATTCATGTCACCAGGCCAGGTGGTTTTTAGTTACACATCTGGCTGTACAGTTACAGCTGTTAGGTTGTGTCACACACCTCGATCCTGGGCGATGCTGGACTGGTTCATGGAAGGATGCAGGATGGTGTCCGACTGGCCGCTGGGCGGTCGGGGTGGCATCTGATTGCCTGTGCCACAAACAGGAGAGTGCTCATCACAAACTGCACACCACAAACCCAGCAGGCACCAGAGCTAAATCCCAGAACCCCAAACAACTCCAGGAGAAGGGGATGTTGGGCCACAGCGAGGGGAAACAAAAGCGAGATCGGTCGCGTTAACCCAGCGAAATGACACCGGTGGTTTCCCAGCCATCCCACCCATCCTTGAGGAGCTACAGACATCCCAAAGCAAACAAACGAGCTCAGTGGGCCTCAGTAACCACACAGTGCTGACACTGGGCAGTTCCTCCCCACTGGGCACTGTAATTCAAGTGCCAGGCAGCGTTACCTGGTACTGCAGCAGGTGAGAGTGGCCCAGAGCGGGACTGAGCAACACTGGCTGGAGATCCAACTGGGGATGGGGAGGGTCCTCTGATGCCTGGCAGGTGAGGAGAGGTATGTGGCGAGAAAGGAGACTGAGCTGGGTTACTCTGCTCTCCTTGACTGCTGGAAATCCCTGATGTGCTTACGCCAGGGCTCAGGGCTCCTTCGGTACCCATGGGCAGATCATCTATGGAACCAGACAGGTCCTGCAAGGCACAGAGAAACACATCAGGCTAGAATACAAAGACATGGGACTGTTCTCTCACATCCCACTAAGGAAGAGCGTTTCTCCCTTAGGCATGTTACAAACAGAAATCAATGAACTCAGTTCTTGTTACTGTCAGCACCAGAGGCTGCTGCAGACTGAGGTAACTGCCAGACGTGTCTTATCCTGCTGCCTGTCTGAACCCGGGAGTTCCTGGGTTGCTTTGCTGATGGTCCAAACAATTGGCTAATTTTCCTACTCGCTTTATTTTAAATTCAGTTTAGAGGTGGGAAATTAAAGAATGCATCAACAGTACACGTAAAACTGCAAACACAGGAGACAGTCCATGTGACCGCGGCTTGGAAGAGAAACGTGGCTCAGCCTCTGAAAGACAGAAAACTCCTGCCTCGCCATAATTAATTCATAAACCTCCTATGAGCTGGGAAACTACTCACTTGAGATGGATAAAAACAAACTAAACAGAGATTTAAAAGAAAACCATAAAATACTCTTCAGGGTTCCCGCTTCCCTTTCTTCAAAGACAGCAAAAATTAGCAGTTACTGCATCAACCTCTAAAGTTCAGCTTTTCTTGAAGGCAAGGCTAGAAAACACCCTTCCTCCTGCATGTATCCACCTTGGCAGAAGCAAAGCACAAAAAGCCTGAGAGAGATGAAACCTCCAATTGCCACAGCAGCAAAGTGACAGCATCAAAATTCAGCTGGCAAGTGTGAGAACGGGGATAATTCCAAGAAGATGATGTGCAGATCCAACATGCCCAGTTGTACTGTCTGGTTGATAACAAGGTGCATCAGCTGTTCAGGCTTGGCCTGCAGTGAATGAGTCAGGAACAGCCCGAGCCAGAGGAAGTGGTGGCGTATTTGAACAGAAAGCTGGGAAGTTGTAACTATTCCAGTGATTAGATAAAATCTCTGCCAGAGGTTCAAAGGATCACTGGCAGGTGAAGAAGTGGGAGACCAAAGCTTACCAGGACTTCACCTGTCCTTCCTAAGTCTTCCAGAGTAATCAACACTGGATCAGCAAGATCCTGGGCTGAGCCCTGAAGGTATCTCAGATCATCTCCCCCTGCAGAGAATTCAGCTGAGCAGCACCAACAGAGCCCAAGTCATTTAAAACCTCACACAGAAAGGCTGAGCCAACTGATAAATCACTTGGACACCCCGGTCTCATTTACACTGACTGGACAATTCCTGGTTCAGCAGCAGTTCAGGTGACGTCTTCCCAGCTCCAGCAGTGCAGGAGGACCTGGGACACAAGATACTGCAGCTTATCAGCCTTTGGAAGCAGAGCTATCACTCCTAACACCTGTCTGCCAGGTGATGTGTGGAAAGGCTCTCACAGCACATCCCTGTCAATCCCAAGCTGGTGAACAACACGTCACCACATCCCGGGAAGAGGATGTTACGGAGTGAAAGTGGAGTGGAGTTACAGAAGAATAAAAACCAACCTGGGAGACACCCAACCACCTCACCACACCCGTGGGACAGTGACACTCAGGACAGAGGGGAGAGCTGGGCATCAGCACCACACTCAGCTGCTGCAGCGGGGAAACCTCCTCTACTTTAGTGGAATTTAATCAAAATGCTTCTAAGAAATGCTACACTGGAGCTGAAACCCCCAGTCACTCGGTGGGATGACTTAGTTCATGCATGTCCCCCCTCCCTTTCCATCACTGTTTCTGTTGGAGAGCTCATTTCCTGCACCACAGTCTCAGAGGTATATTTGCTTACTGCTCAAGTATTATCTTCCTGAGGAAAAAAAAAAAAAGCTTTGTTTTATCTCAATGAAAGCTAAAAAACTGCAGAAAAAGCCTAAAAATAGTGTCTGAGATCTCTTGCAATTTTCACTACTTTCCTATTGTAGCATCAAAAGCACTGCTCCTTCATGCAGCTATTTGGGCAGTTTTCCCTGGACAACTTTGATAAGTCCCACATTCCTACTGCAGAAACCATCTGAAGTGGGAGTAAAGAGACATTATTTCCAACATTTTGCATTAAAAAGCATCAACCAGCACAAACAATCAGGACACAAACCACTCCTCTCCCTGAGATCCACTGCATCGAACTGCAGCCACCAGTACAAGACACACAATGAGATTCCCCTCAGAGTCAATTAAGGGATCAGAATGTCCAGAAACAAGTCAGCCCAGCCTAAAACTGGGTGAAAATACTGGTATGTCCCTTAAATGCATTAAGGTAGTTTTAGTCTGAATCACCAAATGCATCCAAAGACTGTTTTCCTCATCACTGAAATGAAGTTGGAGGCCAGACCCATTTGCAGCTTTAAAATCCCCACCACCACCAGCTGATGTGGTGTGGAATTTCAGAGCAGCTAAATCTTGGGAGCAGAGGGGCAGAGCCCAGAGCTGTGGAGGTGAGGGATTTTTAGGCTCAAAGGAAAAAAAACCCACATAAATGTACACCTGAGACAAATACTGGCATGAAAGGATAGACACAGAGCGAGTGTGCAAAGTGAAATGTGAGTTTCCTTCCTTTATCAGGAGTGTAAGTGCTTTTCCAAGAGGCAAGAGAGAAGGCTTTGGATGGAAGGACCTCAGGATGTGTGGAGGTCACTGTCTGCTCCATGGTCTGAGCAATATTCATACATGAACTGGGTAGACTAAGAGGGCAAGACTTGGTAATGCCAGACATGAAAATATCTGCAAGACATAAAATGAAGTAACATTAAAAACTCTTTGAAAATTAACTCCTAAATAACTAGATAATGATCTTTAAAGCTGATGTCTTTGACCATTCTATGCATCAAAGCCTAAATCATTGAAAAACATCCAGTTTTAATTAAGCAGGTGAATACTGGGTGGGTTCTGTGAGAGTGAGGGCCCCTCTGCATTGCTGACATACCATCAGGGACCCCATAGAGGAACAGCAGACCTTTAGCTGTGGATCAGATTCTCAGATTATTAGTTTAAATGAGTTAGAAGTAAATTACACATCCCCCTTTCATGGCTGTTAAGACAGGAGATGAAACACAACCGTAAAAATCAAGTAACTCGTAAAGTGACTTTCACCTCTAAAAATCTGTTAAGTTTTGTGAATTCCAACAATAAAGTCATTTTCCAGCAAAGAAGGACTCTGCCAGCAGAGCAGCATTTTCTGAGTGTGTTATTCAGGACTGAGTTTCTCAGAAGGGAAACTCCTGCAAGGGGAAGGAGCAAACAGGGACTGGAATGTCTGAGTGCAAGCAGCTCATCAGCGAGGAGCTGGTTTCCTCCTATCAAGTTATCTCAGGACACCAAGCATCAAGGTTTTAACTAAACCCAAAGGACACCCCCCAGCTCTGATATCCCCAAAACCAGGGGAAAACAAAATCCCTCCAACTCTCTACAGCCTGTTTTAAAGGCAGAGAAGCCTTAAAAAAACCCAAACCTCATGGAAATAATGGAGACCTGCTGCTGCCGTCGTGGGTTCTGGATGAAGCCCAAGAGGAGAGGGCCTGGGAGGTTTTATTTGCCTCCCACGGAGCATCAGGAGGAGACCTGGAAAGACACAGCAGCAGCAGGAGAAGGGCTCTCCCCTTCCCTCCTCCCCCAGCACAGCCAACAGAGCTGAGACAGGAGGTGAGGCTCGGCAGCAGTAACTCTGCCAACTCGGAGGAAACGTCAGGGTCTGGAGAATTTCCTCACGTGTTTCCAATGTGTTTTTTATGCATTTTATTGCTCATCTGCCATGCAGATCAAAAACGCTGGAGGGATTCCAACTATTTCACACAGAATCTCACACTCCAGGCTGGCTGCAGCCCCAAAAGCCTGAGTTTCTTCGCTTGAAATACTGCCCAGTGTTATTTTGGGATGTGACCCGATAGCGGAAGCCCACGGGGACCCTGGAACGATAACCGTTCCAGCTGCGATTGGATGCCCGAGCCTGGCCGGTGCCAGCGCGGGTCTGTCAGTGCTGCTGACAAACAAGGGCTCGGCAGCAACACCTCCCTTTTCACACCACAACAAACCCAGGCCTGGAATCACACAATCTGGTACGCAGAGGAAGGGGGCAGGGGAGTTCATCTATCCCAGGGAAAGGGCTGCAAGTCCTGGCACGGCCGACGCGAGGGAGCCCGGGCTGGTTCGTGCTGGAAACAGCCGGGGGTTCTTTTATCTGACAAGAGGAACCACCACCCCACTATCTGATAGGAGCTTGTTTGTTAAACAAACAAAAAGATGAAACAACGAGAAATACTTAAGATCAAGGTAATAAAATCCCAGAGGAGAAGAGAGATTCAAGGCTCCTCCGCTCCGGCCCATCCCACTTATCTGGAAGAGCAGGAAGACTGACCAGAAAGCAAATGGAATAGCCTCCCCTGCCCATTCCCCGGCCTCAGCGCACGTGGGAAGTGTGGGGGAAGAGGGAAGGAGCTCAGGCAGGGTGGAATGATCCAGCACTATCAGATCACCAGACTGCACTCAAGGAAATTATGGTCTGGAGATGAGCATGTGGTGCAGCTTATAAATTCTGTAAGGCCAGTTATTTCCATAAAGATGCTCACAAGCAAGACCAGAGAACAATGGATAAATGTATTCCCCCATTCTTTCTGAAAGGGAAAAGGCCTCTTTATTCTTCTAATTGAAATGCCCACTTTCTATTACAAGTTCTTTCTCTCTGCAGTTGCTTTCCCACTGACTCAAGAACTACCAATACCTAAAAAATCACAATCTTGTCCCTTCCTTCCCCCTTTATTTCCACACCCCCAATATCTCAGTTCTTTCTATCACAACAATTACACAGCTGACTGGCAGGATCTCCCTGCTATTTTGGGGACATGGATAGACTCGTTCCTGCTCAGCAGCACAGGTAACTGAATCCTGCACCTCACGCTCCACAAAGCACTGTCTCCCAGCACCGAGCAGCCTGGAGACCTCCCCGTGCTCCACTCACACCACACACCCACAGCACACCCAAGAGGACACCTGGCAAAGCCAACCCGAGGTTTTCACAGATGTGACAGACCAGGATGTCTTTCCAATGTCT